CACAGTAAAATAAGATCAAAATCATTGGATCCATCACAAAATACAGTTCATTCAACTGCAAAAGTACCTTTGATCCCACCAACTCCAGTTTCAAAAAATAGTAATTCTCAAACTGTAAAAAATTCGCTTTTGAGTTGGGAGACGGTCAGTAAAAGAAAATCAGTTGCCTCAACATCCACAGCGATTTCATCATCCGCTTCTGTTCTTGATAAAACTCACGATTTTCGGTTTGGAGGGATTGAGGTTGAGTGGTTCGACAATTGCGAAGAGAATATGAATGGCGACCAAAAGGAACAAAATATTGGATCATATGCAAATGCAGTTAAAGGCGGTCAAAATGAAACTCTTAACAGTGACAACACCTTGTCAACGCAGTCATCAAACGTACTGCCGCCGCATGACCCGTCCTCTTCACAAACAAGTACGAGGACTAACAAACAAAAGACAAAGTCTAGTAACGATAAATTAACAAATTCACCCGCAGGCAAATTTGTTCCATTAAAGTCCGGTACAACAAATCTTAGCTGCGGCATATTACATTTGTATCGTGATCCAAAGGAAATTTTACCACCAAATGATAATCAAGAAAGCGGCCTTGCACTAAGCGTAGAAGCGGAAGAAAAACAGGATGAATCTCTTAGCGTCTTGGGTAATGATGATACCATTCTAGCGGTGTTGGCAGTACCTTCATATTTGAGTGCGTCAGATTTTTTGGGTTTTGTTGCACCTGTACAGCGATTTGTGAGTCACTTTAGGTTTATCAGGTAAGTAATAATGGATTTCAGAGAATAATATTGATCAAATAGACAATAACTAATTCGAATTATTCTGCTTAGAGATTCGGCACCTAATAAATTTATAGTGTTGATGAAATTCCGTCACTCACGGGCAGCTAAGGATTTTTATAAGCAATATAATGGCCGTCCATTCAGTTCTATGGAGGTAAATATTTTATTTTCTTTCTAATTTTTACGTTGCCAGGCCTAACCGAAATTCCGTCTATTCGCTCAGCCTGAAATCTGTCATCTCGTCTATATAAAGTCCATCGAATTTAAATCTACGTCAATTCCACCTTACATATTTCCTTTTCTACATGATCCCTTTTCACCTTCCGCGCAAGAAGTATCTAAATTACCAGCGGGCAATGATCAAATTCAAAAATCGCCAATCTTATACGAACTTCCAACCTGTCCAGTGTGTCTTGAAAGAATGGATGCCTCTGTCACTGGGCTGTTAACAATCTTATGTCAACACACATTTCATTGCAATTGCTTAAGTAAATGGGGAGACAGTAGGCATGCATTCTTCCTCTTTTGTTATCAATGTTGGTACATAGATACGTGTATAGTAAATTAATAGAAAAAAATATTATAGTTGTCCAGTATGTCGCTATAGTCAAAAACACTACGACTACGATCCATCGATGGAACAAAATGAATGTGGGGTATGCGGTGCCACCGAGAATCTATGGATATGTCTCGTGTGTGGCAATATTGGCTGCGGACGATATCAAGAAGCACACGCATATTGTCACTACAAAGAAACATCTCATTTATATGCATTGGAGTTGGAAACTCAAAGAGTTTGGGACTATGCCGGTGACGGGTATGCAGAATAAGATATTTCACAACTCACTATTAGAACATTTTTATCATATTGTTATAAACGAATGCCCCAGATACGTCCATCGCCTCATACAGAATAAATCGGACGGTAAACTCGTAGAACTACCAAGTCCAGACGCTCACCCTCAGATGCAACAATCAAACACTGACCAAGTCGTTCAGGTGGGAAATTGGTGTTACATGCAAGGATGTCGTTGAATATTCTGCGTCTGACTATCAAATTTTCCTAAAGCAAGAAAAATTAGACGCCATAGGATTGGAATACAGCTACCTCCTGTCAACACAGCTTTCTTCTCAGCGAACATATTACGA